TGGCATTGCTGAGAGGCTGCTGTCTTGTTTTAGGGTTGCAGTGTGCAAGGTCTGGTACAAAATGCAAGCTTGTAAGCTTGTAATGTCACAGACCTGAAGGATCATTTATCTGATGGTCCAAAAAGGGTTTTGGCTAAGGGTAGCCTCCAAGGGGTGACCATCCTGTTTCTGATCTGGATCTCTCTTGCCTGATGTACCTACCAATAGGTGGCAAAGTGATCTGCAGTGCTAAAGTGCCTTGCCACATGCTAATTCGGCTTCTCTGTAACAATAACAAATTGGTCACTCATACCAGCACATCTGGCTTGTCCTGAGTGTGTTATTTATGGTGGTTAGATGCTGACATGGTCTGACAGCTGAAAGGTAGACACACTACGATGACATGCTCTATATTGTAGGCTCTGATGTATCCATGATAAATATCCTTCTAAATGTTGTTTTTTAATTATCCCAGATAGCCTGTCTCCTTGCTTTGTAGTTGTGAAAGTGGCACTGTTAACAGTCTGCTGTCATTCACTAAAAAAAAAGAAAAGAAAGGAAAAGAGAAATCACAGCAGTCCTTAAAGTGTGGATGCAGTTGGAAGGTTGTTCAGTCAACATATTGGAAACATTTTTGCTGCCAGCAAGACATAGAGCGGCCTTCCTTAGCTTTCAAGCTAAAAGAAAAGCTTTTTTTTTGGACTATCAATATGGCAAGATAGCATAGTGTGTGAAAAATCCATGCAGCATGTTGCTTCACATAGCAATTCAGAATGTGCTTGGAAGGAGGCTTCCCTTTTGCAAGTGTATTAATTCCACTAAACTGAATGCAGAAGAAATTTTTTTTTTCCACACATTAAGCTGATATGACCAGGAAGACACACAGACAAATCCATTTCGAAGATATACATATTTAACCTACATATTCTCAGTCAAATTATGTAATTCCCTTTAAAAATATGGTCTGTTGAGTGTAAACAATTCAGGAACAATCTGGAATCAGTTTTGATGCTTCTTTTCTGATTGTAACCATCCATTTGAACTCATATTTCTTGGATTTGCAACACATTTGCTCCAACAGACAGGGCCAGCTCAAGTCATTGTAATTACATCAGTTACTACTGTTGGCAAACTTGGCTGCACAAATCATTTGTGTTTTTAGCTACCACAAATTATGTTGAAAAATAAACAAGAGGAATAGGATGCAAGCATCAAGTCCGTGGCTCTGAGAGGGCCTGCTCTGCTGATTATGTATTGCTAAAAAGTGTACCTGGAAGGCTGAAGGGTCATCCTATTTGGGACATTCAAGATACAGAATCATGGTAAGATATTTTGCCAAAATCAGCTCTATCTACTAAAGATATCCACAGCAAGCAATAGATTTCCTGGAAGGTCACGCATGATAGCATCTATTTTTGCATTATTTATGTCACCATGCCTACAGACTTCAGTGACAGACTTTTTAAGGCTAATAGTAAGAAGGTAAGCATTAGCCTGTCAGGCCAGGCTTGATAACAAGGAGACTGGGATGAGGAAGAAAGGTGTTTGCAAGGAAGACAGCTATTTCTGGAAGTTATGAGGTTGGCAGGTAATGAGGAAGGCAGTTTGCCTGAAGAAAGGAAATAGAGTTGCTGTCATCTGCTGAAGTGCAAGTGTCTCCTTAAAACAGGTATGTGCAAAGGCAGCTGGGATTGGTTACCCTCTACCATACAGTGGAAGGAAGTTGGAAAGGATTTCCACAGGGAGGCATGTCTCCAGGGAGGAGAGCTGAGGTTTGTGCTGTCGGGGACAGGGAAGAGCCGGTGCGTTCCACCTGGCTACGTAAGGTGTATTCAGGCTCTCTTGCTTGCCTTAGCTGTTGCAGAAGGGCTGAGGCTCCTTCAGAAGTTTGGCCCCTTGATCAGCTGTGGTCAGTGCTGCTGATGAGCAGCTCCAGTTTGCAGAGGGGAGAGGTTCCTTGCTGGACGGTGCTGGTACCTTGCTGGTAATAGTGCTGCTTGGGGGGAACAGGACTTGGGACTGTTGGGCCAGCAGGGAACAGCCCTGCTGCCTTGACTTCCTCCTCCTCCCCCCCATATTTTCACCAAGAGAAGTCCCTTGCATAGCTCTGTTCTGCCTTCTCTACGAGAGGAGTCGCAGCCGTGGATGGAGAGCGCCTGCTTGGCCAGGCTGGTGCTTCTTCGTCTCCAGGGACACTTCCAAGAGACCTTTGATGTGAGGTTTCCAGCGCGACCCAGGGCTGGGCTGGTGAGCGGTCTGCCGGGGTCTGCCTGCGGCTCTGCGCTGGGGCGGGGGTCCCGGCGGCCCGTATGAGGAATGTGATCGGTCTGCCGGGGTCTGCCTGCGGCTCTGCGCTGGGGCGGGTGTCCCGGCGGCCCGTATGAGGAATGAATTAGAATGTTTCATTCTTGTAAGTGATACTTTTTTGAGTAAACATCCTCGGGTTCCTGTGATGTGTAACTAATGGAGTGCTAAACTCTCAGGACTGGTTTAAGACTCAGAAAGTACACGTGTTGCCAATCCATCATGTTCCTAATACTAATTAACATAGCAGGGACACAATAAAGCCCCAGAACCTGTACACATTACCCAGCTCATGTTACCGCTCTGTAACAGTCTCTCTATTGACCTAACAAAAGCACACATTGGAAAAACAAGACATGGTCTCTTCTAACTCAGCTAGACCCATTCAGCCAAAGAAGAGAGCTGAGGACTCTCATTTACTATTGCCCATTATTATTCTGGTATATTATGGACTGGAATTCTCAAATCATATGTAATGACATTTCTACCTTGTCAGCAGCTGTGTGTGTTACATGGTGCTGGGCAGGAAGCGCTAGTGCAGACACACAAGCAGCTACTGACTTTCCTGGGAGTGCGATTGCATTGAACAGTAGATCCTACTTGCATAGACATAAAAGGGACATCTTATTTGCCATTTTGCAGCACTGCTCTTTGGAATCCAGTCCTAATAAAAATCTTATTATTCTTCAGCTGTCACTAATATCATTGTTTCTCTCATTCTCAGGCTTAAAATAGTCTCTGTGAAGACATAAAAGACAAAAAGGTAACAATGTGATTAAAAATCATTGTTGAGTAGGGGAATATTTATTTGTAGGTCATAAAGAAGTCTTCCTCTTCTTGGAACATGTCAACACACTCATAATACTTCCTTTTAATCTAAGATAACTCCACTGATTTTGAGAGATATACAGGATGTAGGACTTCCTGCCCTGGAGAAAAAAAGGAAGGAATCAGGGCAGCAAGAGATTAGCCCGTTCACATCATAGTGACCCCTAACTGGACATGGTCCGGCTCCGTGGGAGCTTGGGACAGGCTGCCAATTACTTCCAAGGTTTCATGGTTAGGATTTTTTAGTACCTTTTGACGAAATCTGCAGGGCTACTCACCAGCACTTGAAGCTGGAATGTATCTCTTGCTATTGCTCCTCTTTGTGTGGGTTGATTATGGAGAACATTAGTTTAAACATTATAGAATGACATGCTGGTAAATCATTAAAGTGATCATAGGTTTTGTAAATCAGTACACCACTACAAGCAGGTCAAGCCCTTGGGCCCGTTCTTAGGTTTTCTTACTTCTTGGTCAAAACTTTGAAAGAAATTTCTCCTGAACAGCCTATTCAGATATATCCTGCTATCATAAATGTATTTTGAAAGAGTTTTCTCATACCCATTTAGAAAAGACAACTGACAATTTACAGTTATATTTCACTAGAGTGAGTATCAGTGAGGTTTCTAGTATCTGATTAAACCAGACAGTATCCCCAGATAGGTATCTGATTAAACCAGACAGATGTATGGACATCTCGTAGCTGAAGGGCTCATGCTCCTGTGCCAAAGTCTGGTGTTGGATGGAAAATGTCCCCCAGAGCCTGAGGAAACTGGGCCTCAGGATAAAACCCTGCGGTGAACCACAGAGAAGATGGAGACCTATAGTGTCAGATCAAATCTCAGCCAAGCAGTGCTCCCCCAGTCCTGCAGCACACAGCGACTCTCAGCGGTGCTCTGAGGTGAATAAAGAAGAGCTCAGCAAGAAGCTCTTCAAACTGAGCATTTCACAGACTATACCACCCGGGAACTGGTCATGCTGGGCAGGCTAAATCAGTGCACTGCAGTTTCTTTTAAGTCAAAACAAATTAAATCAGGGCCTTACCCAATTTCCACTACCGTTGACATAGGAGGTTTTCTGTTGACTTCAGCAGAGCTGGTTAAAGCCCTGTACTCCTAGAATTGGCTAATTTTATGCACTGAATGATTTGACACTTTGTATAGTTGATATCATGTTGGATGGCCAAAGACCGCGAATTATAGAAGTGTCACAGGTATTAAATCACAGAGTAGATGACAGTATGCTCGCTATGTCATATGATCTTAGCACAGTTTGTGGAATAGTCTTTTTTTGTTATTGCAAGTAATCATAAGTGCTGAAAAAATACTGTAAGTAAAATAGCATTTTGGAGCACAATGCATCCAATGTTCTTAATATATATACACATCTGCAATATGTTAAACTCAGACTTATGCTCATTTAATCTAAAGGATTTCAATGGGGTGTCTGTATGGAAAGAAGGGAAGAGTTTGATCACAGCCTACCGAAGGCTGCACCTTTCAGGAAGGCTTTATGCTTTAAATTTTCACCAAGATTTGCATATGCATGCTGTATTTATAATAATAAATTCTATATTTGTTAAATGTGTGTTTACACTACATTACATACTTTCAATGGTTTATCTGATGCAGGAATCATTTCAAGCGTTGTTTGCTTTTCTTCAGTGATTTCAGAAAACAGTGTAGCCAGATAAACCTGATGTAGCCATGCGCTTCCGTTTCTGAGCCACAGTACCTGGGGCCAGCCAGGATGGGCTTTCTTCACAGATGTGACCAAGATACCTATTCCAAGCATCAAATACAAGTCACTCAGAGAGCAAGGGTGTTACAACTCCTCTTCACAGATGTTAGCCAGAATAAAATAGATACTTCAGTCCTGCTCCCTTCTTCTAGGGGGCCAGTCCACAAGAGGCACCTCCGCTCAGCATGTGTACTTGCAAAATCACCTCTTGATACTGCCACCAAGGCAGCAACAGGAACTGGGTAAAAGTAGCACCAAATGAGCAGAAGCAGCTCCTAAATGCCCCTTTGCAAATAGGTGCTGTGTCCAGCCAGGGCATCAGCTTCTTTGCTGCGGAGGCAATACTGTTTCTTCAAAAAGTGAGTCTGGTGTCCTGCTCTTCATTTGCAGTGACGCTGAGTTGAATCCAGGGGCCTAATGCTGAGCCAAGGAGACAAAGGCTGGCAGAAAACATACAACTCCTCCCATCTGAGATGCCTGGTAGGGAAAATTCCTTGGATGTCAAAATACTTTGCCAGTCTCTTGTTTGGAGGCACTTAAAATACCTCCAGTGCAAAAGCTGTACTGCAAAAGTCCTGTAGCTAGCTCCCTGTTTCTGTTCCTATGCTCCATGTACTTTTCGATGCTCCTAGTGACATTTTAGGGAGAATCAAACCGTTACAAAGTAAAGAAAAATAAAACAAAAGAGACATTGAAGGGATCAGTGCAAAAGTACTAGCTGAGTGAAATAACATAAGAAAATAGGGCCAGATTCTGTTTGTAAAACTACAGCTCCAGAAGCCTCTGCCATCTCAAACACCAGCTAAAATCTGGAAGGGGGCTTCGTGCCCACAAATGCTTACTTTCAAGTATGTAAGGAGTTTGACATGGGCTAGCATCACCTGTTCTGTGCTGAGCATTCATCCCTTAAATTCCTGCTTTCTGGACTGCTGACAGAAGGAGAAAGTGAGTGGGAGTTCGCAGTACCTGCTGTCCCTGCGCCCCATGGATAGATCTCCTGCTCCAGGGAATTACAGCGAAGGCTCATTTCATTTTCATGGTAAATTCTCAGAAAGATGGAGGGCAAAATCCTTCAGAAAGCTTCGGCGAAAATGCCACAGGAGTGGATGTACTACACTGGCTTTTCTGCATAGTTTTCTGAGAATCAAACTGTTTTGCATTCACTCTGATGTGCTATGAGTAGATCACACTTGCTCCTTCCACCTGGACCACCTCAGGCGTTTGCGTATTTCGTAGTGAACTCATACCGGGCCAGAGCCTAACATTTGTAGTCTGGTATTGCAGCACTCAACATCACACTCGGTAAATAGTTCTGTAACTTCTGTGTTAGCAAGGGTGTAACAGGTGGCCTTCAGTGGGGCATGAATATTTGCATATATAAGCATGATCTGTGTCTATCTTATTCGAAGTGATATACGGCTCTCTGCGAGATTCTGATGCTATTATTCGTGTTGATGAATACCTCAGGTCATCCTATTAGTTTCAGTAAGGCCACTCAGAGAGCACAGTGCTACCCAATAAACGAGAATACAATCTGGCTAGTTATGATTACGTGATTGAAGTTTTACTGCTCAGCACAGCATAGCCTGCCCAAGTTACTTGATTTAGCAGGTGTCTGACTGGCATTTTAAAAATTTGCATACGATTAAAATGCATCTGGAGGTGGGGTCTGGGGGGAAACAATTTGTTAGCAAGTTTTTTTTTGCTATTTGGTGAAAATAAGGTAATCAAAAAGACAATTTACATTGCAGAGACTTGACCTTTAGTTTCCAGGACTGTAAAATAAAACCCAAAACCCAGCACATTCTGCATCTGGTTGACATTTGAATAAAACTGCCAGAGTGCAAACAAATTTTGAGACAACATCTCCAGCAAACTCTGCAGTGACTCAAAAAATATTTTTGGCCAAGCTACTTTTTAAGGCCATATGTTCAAAAAAATAAAACCCAAAACTTCACTAGAATTTATTGCAATACGAGATTTGCCAAACTACTTAAGACATTTGGGAAGATTATAGTGAAGTACGTTAGTTGCTGACTTGACAATTTGCTACGCTCGCTGCTTGTATATTGGATTCTTGATATTCACACTGAGAGCTGATCCAACTTTCTAGTACGTTTTAGCGAGAGACCTGCCAAGTGTCTACTGGCTTATTAAGTGCTGGCAAACCAAAGGTCAGCGTTGTTTATGAGCCACAGCAAAGCTGCTGCTGAGGGCACACATGCCCTTCTCGTGGTATTTTTCCCATTTAAAGTCAAAGTTCCAGCACAGGATTGGGTAAAGATGGATTTGGATCGATTTTGGTTTGGAGTCTTTCTAGACCTGTCCTAATGTCCCCTGGCCACAAGCTTTGAGGCTGCAGAAGAGGAAGTTCTGTTTCAAGTGAGCTATTTTGTTTCCTTGCTTCATGTAATGATTACCACTCCTGCGTGATCTCGCTCGCAGGCGCCCGGGCCAGGTTGGACCTCGCCAGGCGCAGCCACAATCGGAGGAGGGTCTGGTCAGACCCAGCAGGGTCTGTGGTGAAGGGTAAACCTGCCTCCCCTCCCAGGGCTGAGCTCTTCCCCTAGGCTGCAGTCAGCGTGGGAAGGGCTGTAGGCATCAAACCCCGCTCCACTCTCTGCCAGACCCAAAGCTGCCTGCATCCACGGGGAAACTTTCTGTTGACTTCTCCACACACCCCAGCAGATCGTCCCCTGCCGCGGCTGAGGTGGCAGCTCTGCCTCGCAAGTGCGCTGCTCACCTGTAATGCTTTTCATTTCAATCTAGTTTTACACAATTGAAGATTATCTCGGTATAATATGCACGTCTCCCTATAAAAGGTAACCCTTGCCCTCCTTACCAAAGTAAATATTTCTACAAAGGCAATGGAATCACTCTCGCAGTCCATACAACTTGCCTCCATATTATGCCACAGTGAACACATTGCCTGTTGACAGTTCTTACACACTTATTATATATATTTATGACTTTTTTTGACTGACATGCAAGATTAACAGAAAATTCCTCCTCTGTCTTTTTACATAAAGCTGCTTTTAAATGTGTCAAGCAGACTTGTATTAGACAATTAACACTTACTTGTTTAAAACATTTTAACGTATAGCCCGCTTAGAAAGAAAAGCAGGTAAAAATCGAAAAAAACCCCAAACCCTGGGTAATAAAACTCATCCAGATCTGCTTTACTGTAGGTGCTGTTTACAAGATATAGAAGGAGACAGATGAAGAAAAAAAAATCATATTTTAGCAGTAGAAAACTGCAGAAAGAATCACACATTTTACTGGATGGAGATCACCGAAAAAAAAAAATATATATATTTTAAATTATTCTGTCGCTGTTGAAATCGCCCGTGAAATGTCAGCTCCTTCACAAATATAAGGCAACCGTACGTTGCCGGGGAGGAGAGCCCTTTTAACACGATGCGGACCCTTAGCTAATACGTGCCGTCACAGGTCCTT